ATCAAAAAACAATTAATGGCCGGCCACCTAACGGCCGGCTTAAAAACTAACGCAAAGTTGACACCCATCAACGCACTCCTAACAACAAAAGCCCTAACTTGCATGCACACAAACGCCCAAGGCCTTCTAAGTAAGTTGACAGAACTTAGAGAACTCCATGCCTCACAAGCGCGGGACCTCGTCATGATTACAGAGACATGGTTAAACCTTGAGATAACCGATTCTGAGATCAATTTACCCGGTATGTCGCTGCTTCGGACCGATAGAACAGGAAGAGGTGGCGGTGTAATTCTTTATCGTAATACACATCTCTGATGTGAAGTTATCGATCACCCGGAAATCCGAGTTCCTGATTTGCTTTGGTGCCGCCTATGGTTGCGAAACCAGCACACATGTCTACTAGCCGTGATTTATCGCCCACCAAACACAACGTCAGAAATAGACTCCAAACTGAATCACGCCTTTCAGTTTGCTCTGAACAAATCCTACATCCAAATCCTTATGGTTGCACGACAGAAACGCCGGCAACCGACGGTATGCAGTTTAAAGCCTGCTTGCAATAGCTAATTGGCAGCCACGTTCAGTGCAACCAAGTAACCTCTCCCACCAGATTTCGAACTGCTAACAAACCGTCGATACTGGATCTTGTGCTCACTAACCAAGAGCTCATGATTGACGGGTCAGTTACAAGCACACCACTGGGTCGTAGTGACCATGCTACTCTGCTCTTTGACTATATATGCTATGCGGAATATTCTGAAAAGGAGGATGATAAAGTGCATACTGTCACGCACTATAATGTCGTACCAACGCTTGTTAAGGATAGATGTTGGACTTTGTTAACCAAATGCCCCCCAAATGTCGCCTGGGAAACCTTTACAAGGACGTTTAGCACACTGGTAGCGCACGCATCAGAACAGAAGTCCTTCCAACCCAAAACCAAGCGTAAGTCATTTCTGAGGAGCAGAACACGTTAATGTATGTCCCAGAGGGATTTAGCATGGCGAAATCACCATGACTGCCCGAATGCCGAAACCTGGACTGCATACGTGACACATCGTAACTTCTGTGTGAAACTGATCCGCGAAGACAAGGTCACGCCTCAGCAGGAGTTAATGAAGCGATTCTGCGCGAACCGCAAACTTCTGCACAGGCACGTTAACGGCCTTCGAAAAGTGAAGTGGGGAATCCCAGCACTAGTCACAGCTGATGGATGCACGTGGTCAGCAATGGAAGCAGCTGATCTTCTACGGCTTCATTACTGCCAAACGTTCCAGCAGGTGACGAGCCCAAATATTCTACTCGTCTCTATTACTCCACCGTCGGGTTTAGACAACATCACTTTCACTGAGTAAGCCGTGTTGAAAAAGTTGTTATCCTTGCGTCTCAATAGTTCTCCTGGAGTTGACAACAACCGACCAAAGGCTCTAAAGGCGGTAGCTAGGGATATAACAGAACCACTGGTTGTTTTCTATCAGCGGTGTCGAGAGGAAAACCGTATTCCGCCAGTATGGAAGCAAGGGGTCATCACTCCTATCCATAAAGGAGGCAGCCGCACCGATCCTGCCAACTACCGTCCAATAACACTACTTCCCGTACTATCCAAAGTGATGGAATCAATCATCGCAGACGCGCTGATGCAATACCTGGAAAGCCACAATTTAATAGCCCCAGAGCAACATGGCTTTCGACAAAAGCATTTGAAGAATACTAACCTATTAATTGCACGTAATAGCTGGACTGAAGCTGTTGATGATGGAGTGGGAGTAGATGCCATCTATCTGGACTTTTCAAAAGCGTTTGGTCCCTTAGACCATCGAATTCTCCTTCAGAAGCTTCGTAACTACGGCATTGGCGATCCAATCCTGAGTTGGATTAGCAATTTTCTACAAGAATGAAGGCTAGTGGTGAGAGTCCGAGAATCATTTTCTGAGGCAATCGATGTGACGTGTGGAGTTCATGGACCTCGTCTGTTCTTGGTGTTCATTAACGATTTGGCGCGATCAATTACTTCCGATTTCCTATTTTTCACTGATGATATCAAGATATGGCGAAGGATCAGAGGACCGGACGACCATGAACGGCTCCAGCACGATTTTAACATAGTGTCGAACTGGTCAGTTCAGAATGCCCTACTGTTCAACGTAGACAAATGTCGCGTTGTACAATTACGCCATAGACATAACTACACATATTTGCCTGAGACAAACGGATTGCAGAATAGCTCCCAGAAAGGTGACCTTGGTGTGCTTTTACAAAGCTACCTCAACTGTTCAAAACAGGCCGAGGTAGCTGCGAAAAGATGAAACTAGCACATCGGCATGATGCGAAGGGCATTCGGAGGATTTGACCCATCAAGCTTCCTGATGATGCACAATTTCTACGTGCGCCCGCATGTTGAATACGCTAGCCAAGCTTGGCTACCTTGGTTGAAGCGCGACCTAGAGGCGCTAGACGCATCACAACGAAGAGCAACAAAGAATGTAAAGGGCCTGCGCTATCACTCTTACCACCGAAGTTGCTAGGAATTTTCAACGGACGCTATCGAAGGCTGCACTGCGACCTCATATTAGCGTATCAGATATTGGGTGCACGCTACCACATATGCCGCCATTTGCTGAAACTTAGCCACAACACGCAGCTCAGGGGTAACTGGTTAAAGTTGAAGGAACTATATAGCCGTCTAGAGTGCGGACGGAATTACTTTTCCCTTCGGGTTCGCCAAACCTGGAACGCACTCCCAGTCTCAGTTGAAACCTATTATAACTTGGGCGTTTCAAAAAAAGATCAGGTATTGGTCTTTGTTCCGAACACTTTTTTACCTGAACTCTTTCATTGCGGATTGGACCAATCGTGCTCTGCTTCCGGATTTATGTATCAAATGGACACAAGTGTGGAACCATATTATATTTTTCTCACGCGTTGTATCAACGATCACTGCACCCCAATGTATTTAAGAACGTATAATCTTGACTTTTATAATTCTATACTAATGTTGTTCAGCGAAGGTATCATCGTGGCAGACGTTCGGTAGATGATTCAGATATATTTTGATTTCATTGTATTCACCCCAATAATCCTAGGGGACGTGACAAGCACTTGCTTTTATCCCGTGCTAGATCATTATTCATCTGGGTACCTGCGTACTTGCCACGCTCGTCCTCGAGTATGCATCACACGTAATCGACTATGAGACGATTTTATAAAGGCGCATCAGGACCTGGAAAACCAACCACTTGCCGCCAATTCTTAAAACTCTACGAAGACACATCCCCGAGGAGCCATCAGTTTAAGCTGTCCAATTAATAGAGCCGACTAGAATGGCGAGGAAATGTTTTCTCCTTCTGAGTGACAACGCTGGAACTCCTTCCCGGTACACCCAAGCAAATCCCCCACCTAATCACTATTCAAAAGGCGTCTTGAAAACACAACGACACATCCATATTAAGTGATATAATCCGTGCCCATTGAATGACGGCAGTAGTGCAGAACAAATGATGTGCTCACCAGACCTACTTCCGTCTGCGTTACTGCAAACCTCCTGGTGAATTCAGCAACAGGGTTTTCATCATGCGATTTCTCCCCTAATTGTTAGAAGCTACTGTTCCAGTGAATCTCAACAGTTGGTGGCCTGAACAAATTGGATCACTGAATATCTGATATACGAACATGAGATAACTGCGTGGCCGTCTGCTGCAGCTAGTTGACACTCCAATTACTTCTATCCCTTGTTGCGGTGGAAAGTGGAGCATTCGCTTTACGTTCCTCGCAGCCCGATCTTGTTGAGCCACGAAAGCAGCGAGTTTACGCTCAGACCATGCATACCAGATTTAGATGGCGTATTCATAATGCGGATGTAGAAAACCATTACGCATCAAAGTGACAACGGATGAATCAAAACCTGTCAAGTGCAGTTCGTGAAATACCAGCACTCTTTCATAACTCAGGCTTAGGTTGATTCGGTGCAAGCCCACCAAGTGAGATTACTGTCAAGAGGTTTGCATTTTCTGCTCTACAAATATAAACACAAGCGTGTCTGTGGCACGTTGGAACAGCTGTGAACTTGCACACTTTAAATGGCAAATTACTATGTTGTATGGACGTGTGATGCGTCAATTGATCACAATCATCAATACATAGTAGGAACTCCAAGGTGAAAATTTGCGCTAAATATTTAATGGACTCCCAGAACAAGCAGTCCCAGCACCAAATCTTGTAGTGCATCACGACTGACTGGAAGCGAGTCTCACGAATATCTAGCAACTGCGAAAACTCTGTCAATACCCGGTTAGATAGTCACTGATTTAATTCGGAAAAATGTACAAACCATCGTGGTTTGTTTTAGCCATGTGCAAGCGTCATAAATGTAAGGAGAAACACTCGAGTGAGCATAAATTTGACATTATGCTCTCAATAAAACCCGATTTATTCAAAGGCGCTTTTAGTGAGCCCAAGTAATCTAACTGGACCGTCTAGTACATCCGAATACCTATCATTCGTGCACCCTTCAGATTTCATGTCATTCATGCAGGCAGTTGACATGACTGGAATTAATTCTTGATGGGTGGCTACTGAACAGCCTTGGAGTTGCGTGTTTCGTTTATCCAACTAACAAAAAGATAGATATGTGAACGATCTGTACTATGGCCTTAGAAGTAAAATACGTCTTTTCTAAGTCACATGGAATATCCCCATTGAAGCATCCTGCGCGATACTGATGTCACACACTGAAGAGGCCTCTACGGCTTTACACGTTATATAGACTGGTAGAACATAAGGCATATAATAGTGAGAAGCGCGAAAGGCTAAATCAAAGAAAAACGAAAATCCGCTGTATTGTTCCCCGAATAATGAAATCGAACCATCGTGGACGTTGTTATTTCCACCTTGACATCATAGGTAAGAAAATATCAAACAGACAACAAGCAACCCGTTTCGTATATGTTATACGATTCCATATGTGACAATTTGCTTGGAAAGTGATCCTGGCCGAATGCGAATCATTGTTCCATGGGAACTGGATGCTGACTGACAGCGGTGGCCAAGTCCGAGTCGGTAGTGTGCAAACGCTCACCTGTAAAGAAGTTAATGCACACGGTTAGTTAGATCTGAGGAAGACGAGCAAATCCCAAACAAAAAAATATGCTAAGCACACACAACGAACAAGACTGAGGAGACAGATGCTTTGTGCCAAATGGCAGAGAAGTGCGCCAAAACCTAAGGGGCATACTGCAACGACCAAAATCACAAGAGAACATTTCATGTGGGAGCATAAGACATGATTCGACAAAAGATAGAACAACACTATTAAAGGGTGATTCACATCGGTTCCTACGGTTGCAAACTCTGGGGTCATCAGGAGTTTAGAAATATGTGGCACAATTAACTATCCATATAATTCCCCGGCGTCAGTTTTCGGGGAAGTAAAACCAACAACACGGAGCAATCGACTAAGCCGAACGAACTCTAAGAATCGAGAAACAAGGCAAAAGTTTCCCTGAGTTACATGCGACATTACCTAAGCATTCGACGTAGTTAAATCACGATCAGTGTATCCTCCTATCAATTGAAAACCTGTGCAGTTTGCTGTCAACAAGGTTCGCAGCTGATCGTTAGAACCACAACAGAAAAGAACCCGGACAAGTAGAGGGTAAGCCGTCGACAATGCTACCGTGTTTCGTACCTCAGATTCAAAAGGAATCTCCAAACCATCAACAGCGCAACATGTGTCATCAGAATGCCGAGCGGCAGTGTGATTAGATGGTGGCCGAATTGTTATGGAATGACTTTCCTTCGAAGATGCAAACGGAGTTCTAGGTTTCTGTAGATACCAGAGGACTTTCTGGAACCATTGCTGCTGACTAGCTGGGTACGTCCCCGTTGTCCGCTGCCCCCTTGAACCCCACTTACAGATATTAAGGTCGACCGAGCTTGTTGGTGAACTTTCAGGCCTTTTTCAACCAACAAGAAACATTCTTCCAAGTTCCGATGTGTTCACTGAACTTACGAATATCTAACGCCCTAGGTGGGATGACTGAAAGGACCGCGAGTGAGTGTTTCTGCAACTTGCATGTGCACAGAAATTTTACTCCGTGTTGCTCGACCCATTCATTACAAGTTGAAAGCATAGTTCACGGAATATGGCAACAAGCTCGCTTGACCGTGAACAAATGACCACTCAGGCTACAGCGGGTTTTGTTTAAAGCGTTTCGTGTTAAAAAACAGGACAGTATAGGCATCGGGACGTGGGTTCCAGAAAGAAGCAGTTGATGGTGCAGTGGGAGTCTGTCATGTACCTGGAATTTTCAAAAGCGTTCGATCGCTTACATCAAAAAATTCTCCTCCAAAAACTTCGGCTCTAGGGCATTGGTGATCCACTGCTGCGTTAAATAGGCAATTTCCCAAACGAACATCGGTTAGAAACGAGAGTACGAGTATTCCTGTTCGACGCAATTGAGGTGAAGTGCAGTGTACCACAAGGCTCGGGACCCGCCTATTTTTGATTTGCATAAACAATCTGGCGAGGAACATTACTTCCGATTTCCTATTCTTCTCGGATGATAGCAAGTTATGGAGAGCGATCAGAAAACCGAAAGAACATGAAAAGCTTCAAGGTGAACTCAACACGATTTCAGACTAGTCAGTTCGGAATATACTACCGATCAATTTTGAAAAATGTCACGCTGTTCAATTGCAGCAATTAGCAGCTGCGAATTAGTCATCCAACGCAAACGAGATGGGTGAGCCATAGAAATGTCACAGGGATAAGTTATTTAAATATGGAGTGTGCACTCTAGTGTTCGTTAAGCAAAAGGACAAAGGTCAAGTCGTGCATCCAGCAAAATTGCATGCACTCTCGATCAGTGGAAACCAGAGATGGCCCCATAAGCAATAAGAGTGAAACGGGGAGTACAATGTGGGACAAAGCGAGTAAAAACAACAAAATTTCCTTAATGAAAGCGAACTAAAATCGAAGTAGTGAACTAGTAGATCAGGTAAAACAGTGGTGAAACAAAGCAAAAGGTGTGCGCTCACATGTACCCAAAGGTCTTTACATGAACCATTAGAAGAAGGCACGCGTATCAATAGAATCAGCAATGATGTCTGCGGTATTTGTGGCAAGATGAATGACGTAAGACTGGATAGAAGGCGTCAAGTGTAGTTCAAAACGATGCGAGCTGTTAACGACTGAACAAAGTAAATGCCAATAAAGTAAAAGCGTGTGTACATTTTCGAGAATAAGTAAAATACAACAGCGTAATGAAAAGATGAACACAGTAGATGTTAGCATTTCGCATTGTCTCGTCAGTACCAGCAAACTAAGTGAGAAATCTTTACGCAGGCATCACAGGGTATACCATGAATCTTTCCTCAAACAATTTCCCGATGCTTTGCATCGGGATAATCAACGGTGCCCTATCTGCTGCACCGAGCAGGGTGGATAGGGGTTTGGATGCTACTGCTCAAGCCTCCACACCATCTCATTCTCCCTCTTACGCTTTTTCACCCTTATCGTCTCGTTCCAGCTTCACTTTATCCCCCGTTTTCAATCCCCCAATTCTTGGCTCACCCCCAATTTGCGTTGATAGGCGTTTCAACTCACATGCGAACGCGGAGCGCCACTCCTGCCCTGTCGACAAGCCCACGTCCAAGCAAACCGTCAAGCCCAATGCATCGGTTTCCATTTGGAGCCCTCGATCGCCTTCAGATCGTCATGCCTCAATGTACGCATATTGCTATAGATCGGTCAACAGGCAGCACTCGCCCGAACATTAGAGACCTTCACGATCGATATCTGCTGCTTATCGGAGACCCGCCTACAAGACTCGAGCTTTGTGCTCACTTTGCCATCCCCTTCAGGTGACACCAGCAGTACTTTCTCATTGCGCCTATCCGGTGACGATGCAGCTTCGAGCACCGGTCAAGCTGGTGTTGCCATTACCCTGAGTCCTCGGGATGAAGCTACTCTGGTTGACTGGATTCCAATCAGTAGCCGGTTGTGTGCGGTCCTATTGGCTGGCTCGTTCAAAACTTCAAAGTCGGGCAGCACCAACAAGTGTCTATTCGTCATCGCTGCATATGCACCCATAAGTTCTAGCGATGGTTCGGTAAAAGACGACTTCGATCGCCAACTGAACGACCTCCGCCACAGAAGAACTCGCACACTGTTGTGCTGGCTGGGGATCTGAACGCTCAAGTTGGAAAATTATTCACTGATGAACTGCATCTGGGCGGCCAACATGGTGTAGGCTCCCGTAATGATAACGGTGAGTGGTTACTTCATTTGTGTGAAGATGCTCGCTTATTTCTTGCGAGCACTAATTGCCGACACAGCACCCGCCGGAGGGTGACGTGGCGCCTACCAGCCTCGACCCAGCTATGGCCGCAAATTAATCACATTACGATCAGGTACCACTGGAGAGTATGCGTCCAGAACCGTCGCTCGGCTTGGAGCACACGTGTGGACTCCGACCAAGCACTTGTAATTACTGACCTGCGGATGCGTTTTGGTGGAGGCCAACGACGACGCTGTGAGCGCAATGACACCAGCCAACTGACGAAGTTAGCTGTTCTGAATGCCTGAAAGTACGCTGACATGCTACTTAGGTAAGCGCTCGCTGGATACAATTGAAGCTCAATGGTCTCATATTCACCAGACCTTACTAGCAGCAGGCAAATCCTCATGTGGTATGTCTAATCGCCAACATGGACATTGGGTCTCTTCGCAGTTTCTGGAGCTCAGCAATGCTCGCCAGGACATGCCGGCTGGAAGTGAACACAATGAGATTCGCAGAAACCACCAGGCAAAACTCCGTGCTAACCTGAAGAGAGACCGCGAGTTCTGGTGGTCTCATCGTGCATCAGAGATGAAAATGGCCGCTGCCCTTGGTAACCATCGTAAGTTATTCCGTCTGATACGGAAATCGGGCAGTAGGAGATCTGGTGTTAGTGAAACAATTTGTGACGAGAGTGAACAGCCTATCCACAACTTGTCAAAACGCTTAGAGCGTTGGGCTGAGTACTTATCAGTCAGAATCGTTAGATTTCTCGCCAGCCGCTGATCTCCCCGCTCCTTGGGCTGTCCCTTTGGATCCTCCCTCTCGCTCAGAAGTCGAACGTGAGATCGGACAGCAGAAGTTAAATACAGATGCGAGAAAAAATGATCTTCCTCCAGCCCTCTTCGAATTCGGGGGACCTGCTCTTGTGGATGATTTATACGAGTTACTAGTGAAACTATGGGAGCAGGAAACTGTCCCAACCGACTGAAGCGGTTCCGTCATAGTCCCGATTTTTAAGGGAGGCTTATGATCGGAATGCGGCAACCATAGATGGATCAGTCTGGTCTCCAACGCCTCCAAATTGTTTGCTTGTCATCCATCACAGACTGACTGGCACTCGTGAAAGTCAAATTTGTGAAGAGCAAGGCGGGTTTCGTCGTGGTCGTGGCTGCAACGACCACATCTTCACTTTGCGTCAGTTGTTGGAGCACCGTCACACATATTGGCGGCCCACCGTCATCGTGTTCTTCGATATCAAAGGTACATTCGATTCCGTGGATAGATGTGCCCTTTGAGACTGTCTACTCAAGAAAGGTGTGCTCGAGAAATATGTAAATATTATCCAAACATTATACGCGTATAGCTCGGGTAGAGTGAAGGCATACAGCCAGCCGTTGCCGCCCTTCAATATCTCCAGCGGTGTGAGACAAGGATGCTTGCTGTCACCTTTCCTCTTCAACTTCGCTATTGATAAAGTCACGGAAATCGCGTTTGCAGGACACAAGTCAGAAGGTGTGGAGCTGCTCCCAAGAAAACGACTTCTTGACTTAGAGTATGCAGATGATATTGCCCTCATCTGTGACACCTCACAAACGTGCCAAGCTGCACTAAACAGATAAGCACCGGCTGTCAGTCACTTGGGATTTGCTTAGCATCCTCGAAGTGCAAAGCCTTCCTCCAAGATTGGCCTGGACCGCCTCCTGCGCTGACCCTTGGTGGGGATCCATTAGACGTCGTGCAAAAATTCAACTACCTGGGAAGTTGTATCAGCGCCCGTGGGATTGAAGATGATATCACGAACCGTATAGCAAAAGCTCTGGGCGCTTTTGCTAATCTTCACCATTTATGACGCCGGCTCGACATTACTCTCCACCTGAAGGATATAGCGTACAATGCAGCGGTACGTTCGACCTTATTGTACGGTTGTGAAACCTGGCTACTTACATCAGCAGACATAAAGAGGCTAGTTACGTTCGATCACCGGTGCCTTCGCAATTTAGCGCACATCTGGTGGGAACAATGAGTAAGCAACGAGCGTGTTCGACGCCTTGTTTACGGCACAAGAAAATGAAATGAACCGCTCAGCACCGTTATGTAACGAAGCAGACTCCAATGGCTCAGCCACGTGTTACGCATGCCAGTCCACCGCCTCCCGCGACGTGCGTTGTTTGCACACCGGGGGTGTGGATGGAAGAAGAGGTGGCCAGGCGATGACTTGGTCGAGAGGAATGAAGGTCCTCACTTCGAAGCTGGCCTCGGTTAGAGCGTGTCGCCTCCCTTGTTGTTATCCGAAAGACGATGGACACGTTTGGCCGGATGCACTTGCTGACATGGCTAGGAGCCGACCTTAATGGTGTGCGAGCTGTGAGTTTCTTTGTCCCACCCCGCCCTCTTAGACACTTGCAACCACGACCTCACTTCTTATCCTTATATACTTTTGCATATTAAATTGTTTTTGCTGCATAGTAGCCGGTTGGTATGTTTCCGTAACGAGACCCATCCGTTACTGGTAGCTCAGCTGGTTTGCATCTGTTGTTTTTTCTTTTATGTATTGTGGTACAGTAGCTGAGGTGTTTCCTAGATAACGTGTATAACGAAATGAATGACAGGGTATAAGCAGGCCAATCAAGTCCAGGATCGTGGTCAGTTGTGCTGGCATTAGGAATTCGGCAAACACAGGTTGGCAACTAGTTGCTTTTGGACGCATAAAGCTGACCTAATTAGGTTTATCTCGACGGCTTTGGCAAATTACAAAAGGGGGTGGAGTTGTGTGATGACATAATGTTCGAAACGCCAACGACGGGTCACCAAAATGTGCCTGCCAATGGATGACACTGGCGACTCGCGCAAGAATGTATCGACAGGGGGGGTCGATGAACATTGCGCTGAATCCAGTCTGCTATGTGTTACTTCCCTATGGAATCCAAAGCCTTGGCAGTTTTGCTGACGTAACACAAACAAATTGCTAAACGTAATATAATTTGGCACCGAGTGGTTCATCTTCCTTTACTGAAAGTAACAACGTTCAGGTTCTGTTGATAATCACGGAGCAAAGATGAAACGCTACCACCTATTAATGTTGGTCTTTTCATTGAGCTGTTCAAAGTACTGAAGGAAATTAACTGTTTTTAACAGAATTCCAATGAATAAAGCACCCGGCAAATATGATGGCGAAGAAAACGAAATCAGAAGCATACGTATAATTTCAGCGATCGCTCGCTGCGTTCGTCGCTCAAGTTTCTGGAGTTTCTTTTCTACACCCCGCTTGAGGTCCCAATCAGGTTTTCGAGGAGCAAGGCTCACAAGGTTCTGAAGGGCAAAAAGGTGACAATAAAACGCAACATCAACATCATCAGTAATATACCTAAACTTAAGCCAATGTACCGAAACACAAGAGGGATAAGGTATATGTGAAAAAAGAGATACGAAGCACTGCAGAATACAATAGTATAAAAACGCCAAGGCGTAATATGATGCGTAGTTTCATATGCTGCAGCATGTGTCAGAACTTGGTTGGAGGGGAAGCGGGAGGGCGATGGACAAATAAGTTCACAACACGAACACCGTTGGGGCGAGCACTTAGTGATGTCAACGTGTGTAGCCAAGCGAAGGAGTTCGTCGTCCATCGGAACCCAGCTCGGCAGTCGGGAGACACCAACCAACGCCAAGTTCGAAGTGAGGGACTTCATTCCTCTTGACCAAGCCATCGCTTGGCCTCCTCACCTATTGTCCATCCACACCCACGGCGAGCACACAACGCACGTCGAGGCACTCAGTGCGTTGGCATGCACGACACGTGGCTCAGCCATCGGAGCCTGATGCTTGATATAATGGTGCTGAGCGGTTCCTTCAATCTTTCCGCACCAAACACACGACACTGAACACGCCATTGAAAATGCGGTATTCCTACTGGAGGTGAGCTAAGCTGCGAAGACAACGATGACCGAACGTAACTAGCCTCTTTCCATCTGCCGATTTAATGAGCCAGATTTCGTAACCGTACAGAAGGGATGAACAGACGGATGTATTGTAAACTCTGCCCTTAAAGGCGAGAGTAATGTCATCTCGGCACCAAAAGTGGAAGGGATAGCCAAAAGCACCTCGGGCTTTGATATACAGCTTGCGATACTATCTTCAATCTCACAGGAGCTAGTATAGCTGCTGAGATACTTGAAATGCTGAATGATTTCCAGCTAACCGAAAACAATGGTCAGCGCAGAGGTTGATCCCTGTGAATTTTAGAAGGACTTGCATTTCGAGGGTGCAAAGCGTAGTCCGAAATGACTGACAGTCAGTGTTAATCTGTCCAGTGCAGCTTGGCACGTTTTGGAGCTGTCACAGATAATAATGTCGTCGGCATACTCCAAGTCAAAAAGTCGATCATCTGCGAGCAGCTCCAGGTCTTGCAGGATATGTTCAGTGAACGTCGTTTCGACGAATTCGTCAATGACGAAGTTAAACAGGAAAGGCGATAGCGGGCATCCTTGTCTTACACCGCTGGAGCGACGACAGGTTGCCACAAACCCTCACACTACCAGAACTATGGTCGTACAGCGTAATTATGACATTTACTAATTTCTCGGGCAAACTTTTCCTGAGCAGACAGTCCCCAAGAGCACATCGAGTTATCGAATCGAAGGCACCTCTGATGTCCAGGAATACGACTAAGGTGGATCGCCAATAAATATGACGGTGTTCCAAAAATTGGCGTAATATGAAGATGTAGTTAATGCAGCTTTGATTTTGACAAAATCCGGCTTGCGCCTCGAGAAACTGATTTTCACGAGAGCCATTCAGTCTATAAAGGATCAGAGAGACAGGTAAATTAGAGGCAATTGAGATCAGACTGATTCTTCTGTGGTTGCTGCATTCCGAACGAGAGCCTTCCTTGAAAATTGGGATTACGACGGATCGGCTTAAGTCTGTTGGGACAGTTCCCTGCTAACACAGCTTCACTAGTAAGCTGTTCAAATCATCCACAAGAGTTAGTCTCACGAATTTGATGAAAACTGGAGAAAGTCCATCTGCTCCCACGACCTTATGCAATTTCAACAGTCTGATCTCACGTTGGATTTCTGTGCGTGATGGTGGATCCAGGGGAACGACCCATGGAGTAGAGCGATCATTGGCCGATGGAAAAGCTGGCAACTCTGACAGATTGAACTGCCACTCAAAGTGTTCGGCCCAACGCCCCAAACGTTTTGATAAACTGTTGCTCTACACTTTCGTCTCCCAAACACCAGCTCTGTTGTTGCCCGTTTCCCGTATCAGACCGAATAACGGCAATGGCTGTCTCCATCTCCGACGCACATTGAGACCACCGGGGCCTCGCGGACTCTCTTCAGGCTAGAATGCAGATTCGTCCTGAGATCTTTGAGAGTTTCGCTGTACTCGCTTTCAGCCGGAACAGATCGGCGAGTAGCTAGAGGTACCAGAGACTGAGTAGAGACCGAATGTCTAGGTTGGCAATTTGATTTGTTATAATAAGAGATGCGCGCTGCTAATAACGTCTGGCGGATATGCAACCAGTGATTTTAAAGTATGTTCAGAGAGTGTTTACGCAGCCCGGATGCCAGGGTACTTTGATATCCACTCAGGACATCGGGCTTTGCTAGTTGACAAGTTTCGATGCGCTCACAACGCTTTCGCGGACGCCCTCCGAAACACGTGATCAGAGTCACTGCTCGTGCCCCAAATTGAGCGACAGTTTTGGACACAGTCTCTTCAGCGATAGCTGATCGTGATATGATCGATTTGCGTCCATGGCTGGTGTGAGGCGGGTGGGTGCCATGACACCTTTCTGGACTGTTGTGTCGGAAGTTAGTCCTCGAGAGAAATAGACGGGTATCTTCATACAAGCGTAGCAACCGCTCACCGGAATCATTACGGCAACCTACACCGTATTGACCGCACATATGAAGCTCATCAGTGGACAAGTTTCCAGTTTGGGCGTTCAGATCATCAGCCAGTACCACAGTAACCATATATTTTCCGTAACGAATGAGCTCGTTCAGTTGGTCATAGAAGTCGTCTTTCACGGAGTCAGCGCTACAATTTGAGAGCGCATAGGCCGCAATGACAAACAGGCACCCGCTGTACCCGCGCGACTTTGAAACTTTAAACGAGCAGTCAATCTGACGACGTGCATCAGACTATTCAGTGAAAGCCAATCGATCAGGGCAGCTTCAGACAGGAGTAGAAACGGAACAGAAACAAAACACATTTGATGGCAAACAGAGGAACGACATCAGATGTACTGCAGACCAAAGTATATGTGGAATTAAAATAAAAGATGGATGGATGGAGTCCGAAAGTCTGAAAACTTCTGCAACAAATCGCGTATGTCTGGTTTGCTCTCCGGCACAAGCTTCTATTCGCACTCGACACCTTACTTCAGAATAGAAGTCTCGGATGAGGGAAGAATAGGACGGATTCCGTACGGACCATATACTCAATGTGTGGCAAGTGCCAGAGTTGAATCACACACACACACACACACACACACATACACAGCAGAGGATCGGTTCACCATCGACATTCGCTTGTAAAGATAGTTCGCACGAAGTATGTAAATGTTTTATATGCGCTATTATCGAGAGCCACAGTGCGCGTCAGTGTACTGTGGCTTTCTGACAACGAGCGTCGGTCACCATAGTGATCCGATCTCTCGTTTTCGTACAACTTGATCAGAATGGAATGTGTTTTGAAACTACCATGTACGCATTTGTGTACGTCTGTGGAAACCTCGTTAGTCTGGAGCGATCAGAAGTTATCGCTTCGTTGTTTGCCAATCCAGACGCAGTTCACCACAAAAGGTCATTGGGGTGGTTACAGCATTTGGCATGCGCTTTACCCTTCAAAAAGTGCATTATTACAGAACCACTAGCATCTTGATGACCCCTTGGATCTAGACGATGGTGATCAATTCAAGTATACTGGCGGCCTCATTAGTGCTGGTGTGCGCATGATTGCCCGAGTCGATACATTGTCGCAAAATTTGTCACGTCATAAAGGGATTTCGCTCGAACTGAAGGATTTTACATGCTGAGTCACAGTGAGTCGTTGACCACTGTAGAAGCGAAACGCGGCCTACTCGGTTTGGGAACCTGAGACACCTACAAATCCCTGAACAGCGTTATCTAGGGGGCACCGCTGGGGTTGAATGACATCACTGTGTCCGTAAGGAGAAAGTGCGCAAACGAGCAGTTTGGCGATGCTAATCAAGTAAATCAACCCCGACCAAACAAAGAAGTTACGTGAATTAGCAAAAGTGTTACGTATACCCGCCCAAGCACTTACCGAGAAAGGCACTATTTTTTAATTAGAAGCAGGATAGCTAAAGGCATGAGATGTAATGTAAAATAACGCGGATTACATCTATCATGGTCACTGTTGGCTAGTCCCGTTTTCTGGAGCGGAGTACGCGTTTGGACCGTGGGTGAACATACACGGACTACAATCAGTAACCATGGCGCGTCTGCAGTCCTCTCCTAGTCGGACCAAACACTTATAATTTGTATGCGAATGAGCTATGTGAAGTAGGGTTGACTGCAGCATGGGTAACGAAATAAAGCTGTCTCGACGAGGTCGCTTTAAATTAGCACCGTAGTCGGCTTATTGTGACTGTTTGTTGGTAACAAGATGTGACTGATGTTTGCATAGTGGTTGCACTGTCCACTAGCAGGAGTGCCCAAGCATAAGGTCAGTGTGGTTGCGTGCTAGCCAATGACCAGCACAATTTACAGAGGCATTGACAATGTCCGTGGAGAAACCAGGTGTGGCACATGTGTAGATAACCGTGGATAATAAGTTAGTTGCACGAGCGACTGCATTTGATAGGGGACAAATTGCGATAAATAGTTAAAGGGCAAAAGCAAACACCTGGTCCGCTCGTGGAAGTACAGAGGATGAATAAGGCCAATTCTGCCTGAATTCAGACTACTAATAGCTCACTCACATTCAATTTGTGCGCTGAGTTGGTATGAGGCTACGAATAAACACTGGTAATCACAGGTTGCAGAGTGGCACTGCAATGAAAGGAGACCATGCGTTTTTCACCAAACGACTGACTTTTGTATTTCCAGGTAATTTTCTCTTAGACAGTTATGCCATGAACGGCACACTCCACTACCTGGAGGTGCACAACATCGTTACCTCCTGAATAGGTAAGTCAACCCCGCGTTACATTTGTGCCTATTGCTTTCATGTGTGTCTGTGGCACACATTGCCATAAACCATTCCTCAGTGTTTGCGCGCTTGTGGGTCAAGAACGCTTCACACGCTCCCCATGATGACATGAATATTCGGGA